CACAGACACAAAACTCATGCTTAGAATCAATGCTAAAGCACTCGACATCGAATATTGGGGCATCTTTGAAGCAATCAACATCGAATATTGGGGCATCTTTGAAGCAATCAACATTGAATGTTGGGGCATCTTTGGGGATTCAACATCCTGATGTGAACGATTAGATCTTATGAAGGCATTTCCTCCACCAGCATGAACAAGCCAATTATCAATATCCTTTGAATTGTTTCTTTGGAAACAAAGTTTTGTCTCTCTTGAGACAAGTTCCTTTGAGAAAAAAACCTTTGAGATCATTTCCATCGAAACAAATTTTTTCTCCTGAGACAGTTTCTTTTAAAGAAAGATATTTGAGTCTGTTTCTATGAAAATAAAGTTTTGTCTCTCTTGAGACAGTTTCTCTTAAAACCAACCTTTGAGATCGTTTCCATTGAAACAAATTTTGTCTCCCTTGAGGCAGTTTCTCTGGAAACACAAATCTTTGAGTTTGTTTCTCTTGAAACAAAACCATCTTTGAGTTATTTCCTTGAAATGGATTTTGTCTCTCTTGAGACAGCTTCTCTTCAAGCATCATCTTTGAGTCAGTTTCTCTTGAAACCAAAATCACTAAAGATAGCCTACCATCCTCATCGTGTAGGAACCGTGTCATCCCCCAACCAGACCTCCTCATCACGTAGGAGTCGTGTCACCCCTAGATAACCTGTCATCCTCATCACATAGGAACCGTGTTATCATTCCTAAAGATGGCTTGCCATCCTCATCACGTAGGAACCGTGTCATCCCCCGACCAGACCTCCTCATCACGTAGGAGTTGTGTCACCTCTGATAACCAACCGTCCTCATCACGTAGGAATCGTGTTATCATCCCTAAAGATGGCCAACTGTCCTCATTATGTAGGAACCGTGTTATCCCCCGACCATACCTCCTCATCACTTAGGAGCCATGTCACCCTTAGATAACCAGCCATCCTCATTGTGTAGGAATCGTGTTATCACCTTCCCTAAAGATGGCCAGAACTCTTCATCACGTATGAGCCGTGTCAACCTTAGATGACCAAACCTCTTCATCACGTATGAGCAGTGTCGTCCCTAAACCAAAAATATCAAATTTTCAAAACCAAAAACAGATAACATGACAAAAACTAGTTGTCTTTTTTGTCTTTTCCCTATTCTTGTTAACACAAGAATGTGCAAAGAGGGGTAGCTGTAGACACCCATTTTTGTCCGGGTCTACAAAAATATTATTAGTATATTATTATTATTATATTATTATTATATTATTATTATTATTATTTTGTTAACAACAAATACATTTTGTACAGGCCTCTGCGAAGCCCAATTACAAGACCTAGATTACAAGCTCAGCAGTACAAGGGACCCAGATTATAAGCCCAGCAGAACAAGGGACCCAACCCATCAGCCCAGAATACAAAGCAATTCGGTTCTAGAAAAAACCCAACACCAGGCCCTTACCTGGAGCCCAACTACAAATACAAGCCCAATTGAGACTAACCCAAGCTGCTGACCCAAACAGCTGGGATCCAACCCTAACCCAGCAGCCCACTCAACTACCCACCCGAACCGACCCAGCTAACCTAGAACACAGCTAGGTTTCTTCTTTTCAGCTGCCAACGCCTCGTCTCAGCCCTTAGACCTGGACCCATCCAACGGTCCAGATCATTAAGGGTTAGGGTTTTGAACCCTGAAATATCTTAAGTTGCCGCCAACTTCCTAGCCGTCGCTCAAGCCGAGTCTCATCTTCGCCGACAACCTCTGACGCTGGCCGCCTGCATTCACAGTGACCTAAGATTGCACCCATCAATCAATAGTGAAAAAAACAGAGAAAAAATAATTAAAAAGATCAACTAAGGACAAATAATATCCCAAGGCAATCTTATCTACTCTATCATCTCAAGTTAATCAACAACAAATCACAAGAAGAACATACAAACAGAGAAAGAAGGGATATAAAAAATCATTCGGGATCGGGGGAAAGAAAAAACAACGAGTTTCAAGGAAAAAAGAAAAAATGAGAGAGATAAAAAACAGAGAAAACTATTTCGAAAAAAGAAAAGAAATGAGGAAGAAAATAAAAAAGCTGAGAGTTACATAGCCAAAAGAAAGAAAAGAGAGATAAATAGGGTTCATACCTTGATTCGGGGTACAAAGAGAAGCTGTGAGGTCGTTGATTTCTGGAGCTTTCGAAAGGTAAACCTTCATATCTAAGGGGTTAGGGTCACTTTTAGGCAGAGATATCTAGGGATTTGGGTTGAGGAAGGCGAGAGGAAGCTTTTAGGGGTGTGTATCTTTCTCTGGCCGCCGTACGTCGCTATGGGCTCCGCCGCGAGCCGTCGTGGCTGACACTGGCATCAGCTGCCTTTCTCTCCCCGATGAGGGGAGTTGAAAGAGTTTTATAACTCTCTCACTCTTTGTTTTTTTGAGAAATGAGAGAAATGAAGGGTGTTGGGAAGGTTAAGCTCGGGTTTAGGCTTAAATACCCAAGGAGAGACGACGTCGTTTTGTCGTCCCCCATTTATGTGTTTTTGCTTTAGGGTATAATAGTTGTTTCGGTCCTTATGCCATTGTAATCTTATTTTTGAGCCATATAATGAAGTTCTGCTTTGTTTGATTTTGAGCACATATGTTTCATATTTTACGTTTTAGTCCTGTTATTGTATGTTACGTTATTTATGTTAATATTTGACTTTGGTCATAATGTTTATTATTTATTTCATTTTAGGCATTTATTTAGTGTGTTGTAGATTTTTGTGGATGATTGGAATTTAGTCACGAAATTTGTAAATATATCATTTTAGTACCTGATTTAATGTTTTGTATATTTTTCTTCAAATTCAAATTTGGATTTGATAATTGTAAATATTTTATTTTAGTCACTGCTTCTTATTTGGTTTAATTATTGTTTTGCCCCTTTATGTTTATGTTTATTTTATTTCAGTCCTATATATTATTTTTGGGTTATTTTCATTTCTAGTACCTGTATTGTTTAATATTTATGATTTTGGCTCTGGATTATTTGTAATTACTGTTCAGCCCTTCAAATTGTTGTTTTTTCTATTTTAGTCCTTTAAATTTCTGTTTATACTATTTTAGCCCTTTCAATTTTTGCCATTTTTGTCCTTAAGTTTTTTCTTTTTGGCTATTTTAGTCCTCTAAATGTTTGTATTTTCTATTTAGTCCCTTAACTTTTTATTTTTTCAATTTAGTCCTTTAAGTTTTTATTATTTTTATTTTGATCCCTTAAATTTTTGAATATGTTTATTTGGCTATTTACATTTTGACGTGTAAATTTTTATTGTTTTGTTTTAGTCCCTTTTGAATTTATACATTTAGCATATTATGTATTTATTTGTATAACATTAAACAAATGTAATTTTTTATTATTTGTTGTAATTATTTTATTTTTTTACATTTACGATTGTATTTATTCCCATATTATTTCTTTATTTATTGATACAATATTTGAGTAATTTCACGAACACGTATTTGTAGAACGGATGTGAAAAGTATCACTTGATCGAAGTGGTACAATCCGATACGACGTTCGAATGAATTGAGACTTGATATAAATCTATTTTATTTATTAATTAAATATTTTTATGTGAATGATTCAATGCGTTCTGATTAATTTATTTTATTTCATGCAAATGTCAATATTCATATTTATTTATTATTCGATTTGGGTTGTTATATTCGAAGATAGAATCTTTTTTTACGGATAAGAAGTAGTCGAAATAGCTTTCCCGACGGAGGATTGTGAATTTTGAGAGTTCTTATCCAGTCAAAGAATTTTCTTTAAGTTATTAATTCGAAGCAAATTAAATTAACTTTAATAAAGGGATCACACTTTAATTATCGATGCGAATTCAAAATTTTCACCATTTATGACGATGTGTAAGCGACACAATACCAATTTTGGGCGCTGTGGGGGTGCCAATCCTTCCCCACGCGTAACCGAATCCCGAACTCGTTTTAATCGAATCTTTGTAAACGCAAACCAGCTTTTTGTCTTAAAAACAATTTTTCTTAAATATTTTTAAAAAGACGTTTTAGGTATTTGACCTACCTAACCCAAAGGTCGATGGAGACTCTATCCAATCGATTCAAAACCGACCAATTTTCCAAATAAAAGTCATAATTGTTTTTAAAATAATATTTAATTGTTTTATATAGTACACTAAGATGTTATACAACTTTGAGTGTTTTGATTATCCAATTATAAAATATTTCAATTGGATTACTATTAAACATTAGTTTTTGCTTGTTTAAGTCACTAATCTGTTAATTCTTCAAATTGGTTTGTAGCATCAACAAAACATTGCATTTTTTTAATTTTTGTTTATAAAATTAACCTAATATTTTAGTCTTCTTTTACCCTTTGGTTGATATCCTTATGTATTATCGTTCGACCATCGTCGATTGTTAGTTAAGACGTATAAGATCTTAAAATATTCTCATCTCTCTTCTTTCTCCTTCTCAGTTTAATTTTCTCAAAATTGTTTTGAAATGGATAAAACTTAAATAAAAGATTCAACCTTATCTTGGTCCAATCTAAATTTTGCTTCGTTTGATAATTGTAGAATCGAGATGTATTATTTTTCTTCTCATTCTCGACCTTCTCATTATTTAATTGTTGAAGAAAATATCTTGACGTTGATGAATAAGAAAGAATGAACGATCAAATGATCTAAAAGAACAAAACTCAAAACATTACTGATCAAGTTCAAAATTTTTATCGTCAAGTGATCAAAATAGAAATACAGTAAAACGTAGATGACTAAATATGTAGTTAAACTTTGTTATGTTTCTTCTTATGCCTTTTAAAATATGGGAAATCACAAGTCAACCTCGTCTCATCATTTGGTCTTGGTAGTTCAAAGCACCACGTCATATCCCACTTTCTTTCTTTTATTTTTCTTAATTTAGTGTATTTAATTTAATCTTCTATATAATTCAGCATTTTCCATTATTCACTATCCTTCACTATGGGAAACAAGAAGGTGCATCAGTTGGCGCGTAGATTCTGGGAGCACGAACCATCCCTCTCCCTCTCCTCTTCCGACCTTAAGATCTTCATTAGACCCAAAACAAAGCTTCCCAGGCCAAATTCTCATCAGGTACACTACATTAATTACATATGCCCTTCACTCTTATTTCATGTGATTATAAGTTTAAGCTATGTTTGATCACTATTAATGATCCAAACTTAATGAAGCAAAGAATGTTACGTAGGTGGATATTCAAGGAGGAGGCACGAGATGGAATCCAACGCAAGAGCAGATTGAGATTCTGGAGATGATGTATAGAGGAGGGATACGAACTCCAAATGCACAACAGATAGAACAAATCACTGCGCAGCTAAGCATGTACGGAAAAATCCAAGGCAAGAACGTTTTCTACTGGTTCCAAAACCACAAAGCACGAGAAAGGAAAAAGCAGAAGCGCGACTTAGTTCCAATTACCACAATATCTCTGGAAAATATGGAAAGAGACGTGGATGGTCCATGTAAGAGAAAATGCAGGAGGTGGTGCATGGAAGAAGAAAGCAAAGAGAAGAAAACCACAACTCTAGAGCTGTTCCCATTGCACCCACAAGGCTTGATCGAGACTGCCAAGGGGGTTTGAAAAAATGGAAAAGTAAGAAAAAAAAAACTGTCGCAAATTTTTTGATCTGGCTTTGACAATGATGTGATATATACCAGGGTTTCAAAAATAGGTCCGCGACCGTGATTTCGGCCGTGATATAGCGGTTTTACCGTCGTTCGAGTTACCCGCGACGGCCGTAATAACGTCCGCGACGACCGTAATAGTGCCCGCGACGGTCGCAATCACGGTAAATTCGAAATAACCGAAAACGCGACCGCGACCGCGATTTGAAACCCTGATATATACTTTCTTTTGTTTCGTGGATAGAAGAAATATAAAGCAGCCTTCTTGTTCTCCAAAGATTCATTGGTGCTGCCGATTGTAGTCAGGACAGAGGTGCCTCCAATTATAACTTTGAACAAAATTGAAGGAAAAAACACAAATCTAGAACGAAACAAAAGTAGGTGGTTGTCGTGGGCGTTGTTGAAATATTGAAAAATGCATGATCCAAATTATATTACAATTCTGTTGATCGGAAGACTTTCATAAAGTTGTACCTGTCTACTTCCTTTCTAGTGGCGAGTTAATTCACGTTCATTTGGTCAGCATTTAAAAACCAAAGTTTGGTAGTTGTTTCGTGGACCAGATGTTGATATATACCCAGCCTAGGCTTGGGGATTGTGATGGAAAACATCATGACAATGTCCAGAGACAACAGTTTTAAATGGAAATAGAGGGTTTTCTCTCGGTAACCGAGAGTGAATGTCTTTTATTTTTTAATTATCTAAAACCGTGGGTGAATGTCACTCATCATTCACTTTGCTGCTGTAACAATGTAGGTTGCGAAAACAGTAAAATATAATATTATTCTTTTTAAAAATTTTGACTTCAAGTAATTATGATTATAGTATATGTGTAGTCAAATTATTTTATAATCATCCCATACTATTAAAAAGGGTAAACTACTTGAATGATCACTTAATTATGGTGTTAGTGTTAATATGATCACCATTTTCAAAATTTTATTAATAGGACAATTTATCTATTTAATTGATTTTAATATAGTCACTTGTTGTTAATATTTGACGAAAGTGTTGATGTGAATAAATTTGGTATAATTATATATTTAATCTCCAATACTTACATATTCTATTAATTTGATTCTAATTTTAATTTAATTTTAAAAAATAACATCCAATCAAGAAGTGTTACATATCAACCGATTATTGTTACACATTTTATAGTGACAAGTGTCACCACCGGTTTGAAGAGAAAATAAAAAAGACACGACATTATGCTATTTGGGGTATTAGAGTCAAGGATCTTAAATGTAGGAGTGGAGTGCATGCCTCTACTACTAGGCTAAACAAAACATTTTTTTCTATGTTTTTCAATATTTTATTTATCTATTTTATATTATGACATAAAAAGAAAATAATGAAAATTTAATAAATTAATTATATTTTATATATGTATATATTAAATTATAGTTAGTGTAAGGTTTAAAAATAAAAATGAATTTAATATTTTTTATAATTTTAAATTAAATTAATTTTTTATAATCATTTTCAAATGAATATAAATTTAAAATTATATTAAAAAATTAAGATAACAATTTAAGATTGAATTATAAATTTGTTTTATAATTTAATTTATTTTTATGACTTCGGATTCTCTAAATAATTTTTAATATAATTATATTTTAAATATAATTCATATGTAATCATTTAAAAATAATTGTGTAAAAAGGAAAAATTAATTTCCTTTAAGAGTATATATATATATATATTAAATACAATTTATTTCTATCATTTTAAATTATGACAGATAAATAAAATATTGAACAAAGTAAAAGCAAATATTGGGTTTAGCTTGGTGATAGCACTTGTACAATGGTGACACGTGTCAGCATTTGATTGTTAGAAAAAATAATTTAAAAAAGTAGTTAAATGTGTCATAATTATCGATTTACAAGTGATACTTCCTGTTTAGATGGTTAATTTTTAAAGTTAAATTACAACTACGATTAAATTAATAGAATATGTAAGTACGAGGACCAAATTTATAATTATATAAATTTTATGAACTTAATAAAATTTTGAAAATAGTGGTCATATTGACACCAACCCCATAGGTGGTCATTCAAGTAGTTTTTCCTAAAAAGGGTAAACTACATAAATAATCACTTTTATTTCGTTTTAGTTAAGATGTGATCACTGAAAGTTAATGAAACGATAAATATATAAAATTAAAATTACATCATTTCTATGTAGATAATAGGTGGATTAAGTTTTGGTCACTTTCCTTTCATATTTAGACACTTTTGCTCACTAAATTTAAAAAAATAAGTTTCAGTCACTTAATTTATCGTTTTATTAAGTTTTGATCACTTACATTATCGTTTTATTAAGATTCGGTCACTTGGATGTTAAATATCATTAGTATGATGACATGTCCGTTAGTAAAATGGTTTAATTTTATTTTAACCCCAACACTTTAGACAAAATACTGATTATGAGTCTTTTTGTAAATTCAAATTAGTTTACGGACAACATTTCAATTTATCCACTTTAATAAGTTTTCTTCCTAACCCCATTGTTGTTCATCTTCTTCGTGCTTCTTCTCCAAATATCTCTTCTCCATTGCTCCATTCCATTGCTCCATTTGTCTTCTTTCAAAGACTCATGCTACATTTCAAGAATAATGAAAGATTTTCAAATTTTGATAACAAATAATAACACCAAAAGTTTAGAGAAAAATAAGAGGATATGAATATAGAGATAAAATAAAGATGAGTAATCTCAATTATATAAACTAAAATTCAATTTCCAACGATTGAGAATACAAAATACCAATTCCAACAAGGATCAAGAAGAAAAATCAATGGATCCAAATAAACCGATAATAAGATATCACTCTTATTGGTGATTTTCCCTTGAGAAAGCGCCTCCGGTGAAACATAATTAATGGAACCAAGTAACCCGTAATTGGATCCATGAATTTATCCATTGAACTCAATCCAAAATCCATGATCTTCAATGTCAAATCTTTGTTTTTTCTCAAGAACAAACAATTTTTAATTCTAGATCCCTATAAATCACAATTAACCCATGTGGCCTGCGTGATATGATCTATCGTTGCCACTGCGTTGGCCTTCGAGTACCTCATTTTCGTGATGATCCGATCGAATAACTCACCATCGAAGCAGAGCTCCATTATTAAGTGAGCACCTATTTGATATTCGTAAACATCGTGGAGGTTGCTATGTTCAAATGTGATGAACGTTCTTGATAATCTTTCATATCATGAGGATTAAGTTAGTCGAAAACACGTCAGAGATAAAAACCTAGTACTATGTCGCCAATAACATCGCCATTGAAGAAGCTCTAGTTTTTTTGGCTCAAGCTGGTGGCATCGTCGTGGTGGTGAATCTTTTCATAGTTTTAATGGTGAATTCTCTTTATTTTTCATGATCTTCATTACTTTTTTATACCTTTTATTACATATGAGAACCTAGATAATTTGACTTCAAATAATTACAACTAATAATTAGAAACAAGAAGACTATTGTAATGTGTAATGCCACAAATCTAGGGTTAGTAGTTTCGAGTTAAACTGAGGGAGTTTATAATAACACATTAACTTTATAAGAAAACTTAACCCCAAGTGGTGTAAGTTTAGGCTTGGGTTGAGCCCAAATTGTCATAAAAAAGGGCATCTTTATTATGAGAATAAGACTTTAGCAACCAAGGCAACAATTTACCTATCAGTTTTTTCATAAGCTTAATTACGTTAATGATGGATGATGTCAACAGGGAAGAGCTTCATATATCTTTTTCTTCACCCTTGTCTTCTTCTCCCATTCAAATTCTCCATTTTCTTCTAGTGTATCTTAAGAAATGTAGCAACTTGGTGATCTAGCAAACATTGTATGAGATTCTAAAGGTAAGAATCATAACCTCCTCATCCCAAGCTTTCTTTAAAACCCTCAACATCAAGTTCTGGTTATAGTAACCATGAAAAAGGGATTTAGTGAGTGTTTAGAAAACTTTTGTGTTACAACTTGTTTTTTTGTAGATTTAAGCTTTAAGAAGTATTTCTATCTTCATTCTAAGTTCTAAAATGAGATAGTAACTCATTTTCCTCATCTTTGATTAGTTAAGCAGTTTAGAGAAAGCTCTAAGACCAAAGGCAAGGAAAAACTAGTTCTTGATTGAGCCTTGAGCATTTTTAGCAGCTTAGGATCAAGGTAACCTATTTTTAACTTGTCTATACCACTTGTAACTTATTAGGTGTGCATTATTGCTTGGTTGAGTTCACGAAGCATGTATGTGCATTTCATGATAAATCTCAGTTATGATGTTAATCAACATGAAAAAATGACTATTTGTGACCCTAATAACTCACATAAGACTTAAATAATGCTTAAGGGTCTTATAGGGGTAAATGATGAGTGTTGGGTAAAAGTTTTGTGCCCAACAAGGTATTTCTAGGTTTGAGTATCGGTACTGGATGAACTTTATCGATAATGTTCTTCTGGCAGCCTTAAACAATGGTTTTTTGTTGTTTTGAGTATTAGTACTCATTTTGAGAGTATCAATACCGTTATTTGAGTATTGATATTCAAGGGTGGATTATCGGTACTACCTTCAATGTCTAAATTCTAGTAACTAGTTTTGGTATCGATACTCATATGAGTATCGATACTCATGTGAGTATCAATACTATGTCAAGGGTATCGATACTCTAAGTAAGAGTCTCAATATTGGATTAATTTTTCCAAACATCAAACTTAAATTTGGTATCAATCCCAAGGACAATATCAATACCCTAGTATAGGAGTATCAATACTCGAAATGGGGTATCGATACTGGAAAGCTTTTTGCTTTCTAGTAGCTTGTTTTAGTACCGATACTACGGGTGAGTACCGATACCTAGTGGTTAATATTAATGTTGAACAATTCAATATCGGTACTAGCGAGTTGAATTGGGTAAGAAACCCAATGTGGTTAGGGAAGGGGAAAAATGGGTCAACAACA